TTTTTTTTTAAAGTAATTACAGAGCAGGTAGTCGTTGACGCAAACCTCCCTTCAGTATCAAAAGAGTCTGTGGGGAAGGGGCGCCGAGCGCGGGGGTCGCCGGCACCCCAGCCGCAGGTCAGGGCGGGAGTAGCGCGCGCTGCGCTGGGGACAGCCGGGGTCAGGGAGCTCCGGCGACAACGCGCGTGTCTGTCTCTTGGGTTTCCAGGGTGGAGGGCTTGGGAGGGAGGGACAGGCGTCAAACTGCAAAAAATGAACCGTAAAAGGAGGGCTGTCGGGTGTGAGGGGAAAGGGCATCCCTCAAAAAAGCTCCTCTTTTCCCTGGAAGGCGGCGGGCGAATGGCCAGGGGGGTCGGTGCAAGGTGCGGGCGCGCGGGAGGTGCGGGGCGCGGCTGCTGCTCCAGGGTCCCGCGTCTCCCCCGGTCCTGGGCGCGCGTGTGGGCGGGCGGGACCCCCGTGGCGCCGCCGGGAGCCCGTTCTGTCCCCGCGGATCCCCTGCCCGCGCCCTGCCCCCGCCCGGGCGCACCCGCAGGGCTCAGATCTGCGTCTCTTGCACGTTCTCCTTGGAGCCGCTCTTGAAGAGCAGAGGTTCGTGGATGGAGTTGAGGCCGGCCGGACCTTTGCCTCCGCAGCCCCCGCCTCCCGCCGCGCCGCCGTAGTGCGCCTTGAAGGCGGCCGCCACATAGTGGTGGTGGTTGAGGTGGTCGCGCTCCAGGGCGGGCAGCGCCAGGTGGCTGTCGCCGCCCACGCCCGCGCCTCCGGCCACGGCGGCGGCGGCGGCCACGGACACGGCCGAGGCGGCGGGCAGCTCGTCCTCCACGTTGATGATCTCCACGGTGCGCGTGGGCCCGTGATGCTTGTGCATCTGGTGCTGCTTGCGCAGCTTGTAGAAGGCCACGAGCATCACCGCGGCCATGAACGTGATGGCCACGAAGCAGCCGATGATGATCTTGGTGGTCTTCATCACGTCGTCCAGGTCCTTGAGGGCGTTCTCCGTCACGTCCGTGATGGGCACCGTGAACGCCTTCTCCGTGGGCCGCGAGGAGCGCGGCGCGGGGGCTGTGGTGGAAGACGAGGCCGGGCCCGCCGCGTCCCCAGGCCGACCCCCGCCCCAGCTGCCGTCAGTCGTGGGCCCCGGGGGCTCCTTCTCCGTCCCGCGCGGCTGCAGCGCCTCCTCGCCCGGCTGCGTCTCCAGCGTCTCCACTGTGACCGTGGTGAAGTAGGTGTAGCCGCCGCTGCCCCCTGTGACGCCGCCCGCGCCGCCCCCCGGGGCTCCGCCGCCCCCAGCAGCCACGGGGTCCACGGCCGAGACGTTGAGCGTGGCGGAGGCCGTGGTGTTGCCGGCTGAGTTCGTCACCATGCACGTGTACTGGCCGGTGTCCTGCACGGTGACGTTGGTGAAGTTGAGCGTGCCGTCGTGCAGCACGGAGATGCGCACACGGTAGGATCCGTGAGTCATGAGCGTGCCGTTGGGTGTCAGCCAGTTCACCGAGGTCATGGAAGTGCCGGTGCGGCACTTGAGCTCAGCCGCCATGCCCTCGGTGACGTTGAGGTCCGTGGGCGGCTCCACGATGACTGGCGCGTAGCAGGTGAAGTGCGACTGGTCGAGCTCTCCAATGTAGCGGCCCTTGAGCCCCGCAGGCGCATGGCAGCGTGCGCAGCAGGTGGTGTTGCTGGGCACCGTCTCCTTGAGCCACCAGCTCAGCCAGAGCACGTCGCAGTTGCAGTGCCAGGGGTTATGGTTGAGGTGCACGCGCTCGAGGCGGTGCAGGGGCGTGAAGAGGTCGTGGGGGAGCGACATCAGGTTGTTGTGGGACAGGTTGAGCTCCTCCAGCGACTTAAGGTCGTCGAAGGCGTTGCGCTCGATGGTGGCCACCTGGGCGTGCATGAGCCACAGCTTTCGCAGGCTGGTGAGGCCCTGGAAGGAGCCTGGGCGGATGAGGTCCAGCCGGTTGCCCGACAGCTCCAGCTCCTCCAGGCGCACGAGGGCTGTCAGGTTGGGGATGTCCTTGAGGTTGCACATGCCCAGGTTGAGGTAGCGCAGGTTGACCAGCCCCTCGAAGGCGGCCTCAGAGATGTACTCCAACCGCTTGAGCTCACCCAGGTCGAGGCGGCGCAGCGAGGGCACGCGGTTGAAGGCGTAGGAGGGGATGCTCTCGATGGGGTTGTTGCGTAGCCAGAGCTCCCGCAGCTTGGACAAGTATTCGAAGGCCTGTGTGGGCACCGTGGTCAGCCGGTTGTCAAACAGCTCTAGCGTGTTCAGGCTGGGCAGCCCGTTGAAGGCGCCCACCTCGATCTTTCGCACCAGGTTCTTGCTCAGCTGCAGAATCTCCAGGTGCCGCAGGTGCTTGAATGTGTCGGTTCGGATCACCTGGGGTGGGGGACATGGGTCAGTAAGGTTGGCAGCAATGGTGGCCAGGGTGTGATTCAGGGATGGCAGGAGCATGGGATGGGACAGCTGCTTTAGAAAACAGTCTGACAGCTACTTACAAAGCTAATACCAGAGCTGCGGGCTTGGAGCGGTAGCCCATGTGTGCCTGGAATCCCCGCACTTGGGAGGCTGAGGCAGGAGGATGTTGAGTTTGAAAACAGCACGACTACATAGTGAGTCCAAGGCCAGCTTGTACTGTATGTAGAGACCTTGTCTCAAAAAAGAGAAACAAAAATCCTACAAAGCTAACAAAAAACTAGAGCTGCCACACACTGGCCATCACACTCCCGGGTGTGTCCTTAAGAGTAACAGGACAGCTGACACGTGGGTGTTCACAGAAGTCCTGTTCTTTACAGCCTAGAGGGAAGCCACCCAAATGTCCACCAATGGGGAACAGACAGCACCTGTGGGGAGGGAGGAGCTGATGGCCCGCCTACCCCGGGCCTCCCCAGAGCTGTGCTAGGAGGAAGCTGACCTGACAGGGGAAGGTCCTGCAGCTCCAGCTCCAGATGTTCCCAGCGGGTGTCTCCACGAGTGTGGGTGGGG